GATGTCCAAAATCCAAGATATCAGCAGAGCAGTTGCTTCTGAAGGTTCTAGAGGAGATGCCATGTCCTTGCCTTTCCAGCCATCAGAGGTGGTCTGTGTCCTCGGCTTGTGGTCCCTACATCTGCCTTCGGGTCAGCAGCACAGAGTTACCACACCTCCCTCTCTCTCTCTCTCTCTCCCTCCCCCACTTCCGCCTCTGCTCCCTATCTTGCATCTTCTTTCTTTACTATCTTCTCTTTTTCTTCTTCTGTCTTCTGTTTTCTCTCTTCTTTCTATCTTCTATCTTTCTATCTTCTACCTTTCTACCTTCTGTATTTGTTCTCTTTCTGTCTTCTGTCTGTATGTCTGTCATGGGCTTCTGCTTCCAACATTACATTTGCTTCCCCAGCTGTGAATCTCCTGGCTCCTTCTTCCACCTGTAAGGACTCTTGTGGTCACATGAAGCTCCCCACCCAGATAACCAGGATAATCTTTTCATCTCAAGGGCCTTACCTGAATCACATGTGCAAAGTTCTTGGGGCATGTCCTTGGGACATGACTATTTCAGTTTGGGGAGTTAAGGACATGGACTTTGGGTGGGGTGAGGTGTCATTTTTCAGGCTCCCACAGGAATGGAAGCAAGGCAGTGTTGTTGTTTTTTTCAGATTGTATTATGATAAGGAGCAAAACAGACGACCTTGCTCTGGTGCAAAACTATAAACCTATATTGCTGTCTCTTCCACATGAATGAAAATTGCTTTTGATCTTCGTCCAGTTAGGTTACAAAAGAATGCATTTGCCAAGTCCGTGGCCCCACTCTATAATCTGAGGTTGGGTTAATCTGGTCTTGTTTTCTATCACCTATAGCCATGCTCCAGATCTGCCAACTTTCACTGAATCTCTACTGGTTAACTGAATGGAGACGTGATGGGGGCCACCAACTCTGTATCCCTTCAGCTTTAGGGGTGTCCCTAATCTCTCCATGCCCCTTATGATGCCATACTGGTTTTGATTTACTATCTTGTTCAAGGATTGAGAAAGAGTTTCAGAGCCTTTCACTTAACTTTCTTCACCCTGGCTAGATCTTACTTCACAGGCCATGGATTCAACGTGAGGATACATTTAAACAGGAGAAAATAGTAACATTGAAAAGAAGAAAATAAAATATAGAGCCTTTGTGAGAAATTGCTGTTTACAGAATATACAGAAATCCCTCACGTGAGAAGAGACAACCTCAAAAGAAAAAAAAATAGTAATAAGAATAATAAAAGGAAAAAAACAAACAAGTCTAGAGATATAGGAAAATGAAGAACTACCTGCACTTTTATTTACCAGGCTTTATTATGTGTTATTTGTTATTACCCAGGTTAAATAAAGTGCTTGAGTTTTTGTTCCCTGCAGTGCAGAAATCATCTTGAATCTCCCATGTTTGTGAGTGACAACACCCTGTTATCTATCTCCTGTGTGTACAACAGATCTGAGAAAGGAAATGGGAGAAAAGAGATTACTCAGTAATTTCACTTCTATCTGCCCAGTTAGAATCCTGTGAGGAGGTTTTAACAAATATATTCCTGAGAACTACAGTCAAGTTGAGGTAGAACCAGAAAATGTGCGAGTACCTGGAGGCACCCAGTGAATGACCTGAGTCCCACACAGGTCTGTCCCTGCTGCATGTCCAGAAGGCCAAGGCCAATGGCTTGGTATGACAATGATTCCTCTTCAGGGCTACTAATCACTAAACACAAGGCCTTTAAAGTGTCCAGGCAAAAGCAGGGGCTCATGATGCAGCAGAACCTTCACTGTATCCCTGAAAGAGGGCACCCACTTTGGGTATCAAAGTCTCTATCCCTACAGAACCCAGGGTTGCAGGGGCAGGAGGCATCCCAACTGTGCATCTCCATGGCTGCTGTGGTCCACCCCTTGTGCCACAGGGAGCCTGTGTCTCAGGTGACCCACATTCAGAGAGCAGCTCCTCTGTGAGTCCCAAGAGCTTCTCTTCCTCAAGGTAAATGAGGAGCAGGTTTGTGGGACGACCTACAGTCCCGTCCCGGCAGCTGCCCTCAGGCACAGCTCTTCACCACCTCCCTTCTTGCTTTAGTCAGATTTTCTTTTTATTGCTGTGAGAAAAGAGCTGACAAGGACAACCTAGAGGAGGAAAAGTTGATTTTGTCTCATGGTTTCAGAGGTCTCAGTCCATAGATGGTTGACTCTGTAACTCTGGGTCCAAGATCATGGCAGATGGGCACGGAGAGGAGAGCAGCTCAGGGCATGGCAACAAGGAAGGCAAAAGAGAGCTCCACTCACCAGGGACAAAATACAAACTCCAAGGGCACCCCCCAGTGACCCACCTCCTCCAGACATACCCTACCAGCCTACAGTCACCACCCATTAACCCACAGTAGTGGATTAATCTACTGATCAGTTTACACTCTCATAAATCTAGTCTTTTCACCCCTGAATGTTCTTGCATGGTCTTACACATTTGGGGGACGCCTCCTCCACTGTCCAACATAAATTCCTTGCTCTCCTACACCACCTTTGCCCACCTTAGTAGTTTACTTAGTGGTGTGACCCAGACTCATCATGAAGGGTGCGAAGCCCCAGCAATCATATCTCACTCAGTCCAAGATGACTATGCTTATTCACAATCCCAAGCCAGGGAGACATAACCACTACCACCCATAAGTCCCACGGTCCCCTCCATCTCAGAAGTCATCTCCACCCCCTCTGATTACCTTGAGCACCCACTGCCTGGGTCATTGTTCAGTAGTTTACTGCTGGTGGTCGGAATCATTTTTGCATCATTATCACTTTGAATCTCTACCCTAACTAGCACAGTGTCTAATATGTATTGGGTGTTGTCTAAATAATCTTTGATTGGCAAGTTCACAGAACATAATCTGGGGATATTTTACCATCTCTGAGTCTTCCAAGTGACCCATTGACTGACGATATTTACAATAAAACAACGTGCATCTTTTTGCTTCTGACATAAACAAACTGTATTTTGTTTTTTAAATTCCACATTGTCTTTTGGAGAACATTCAAACCTCAGTGGGTTGTAGGAGAGTGAATAAGGGAATATTCGAGAGAGTGTGAACATGTGTGAGGGTGAATCTGAGTAGGAGAGTATTTAGAGAAGTGAGTGAAATTGGTAGGGGTGGACCTCAAGTTCATTGGCCCCTAGTCCATGTCACATACTCTATAAAATTTCATAATTCTGCTCTCTCATGACCATCACAGCATATTATAGTCTCTACTCCCATGATTTCCTGCCAAAGCCATCAAAGATGAAGAATATCTGGGTATTTTTGTAATTCTTCTATTTCTAAAATCTTACTCGGGACATTTGCTCAAAAATTGTTAATGAAGGACTGAATAAATATTTGAAAAAGTGGGGGGGGGCAGTCTGGGATTGTGGCGGTAGAGCGTTCGCCTTACACGGCGGGACCCGGGTTCAATCCTCAGCACCACATAAAAATAAAGGCATTGTGTTGTATCCATCTACACCTAAAAATTAAAAAAAAAATGAGCATTTTTTTAAAGAAAAGAAAAGAAAGAAATAGTGGTGGGATTGCAGAGAACTTACTCAGGAATTTTTAAAAAAAAAAATTGCCAGACTTCCCAGAGAGGCAGAGTGTCATAAGAAATAGAAACTGGGGCTGGGGTTGTGGCTCAGAGGTAGAGCGCTCGCTTACCATGCGTGAGACACTGGGTTTGATCCTCAGCACCACATAAAAATAAAATAAAGATATTGTGTTCACCTATAACTGAAAAATAAATATTTTTTTTAAAAAAAGAAAGAAACTGGACAGACCAAGCTTTTTATATGAGGTCAAATTTGAGGATAGGATCTTCACTTCTCTGAGGCTCAATTTTCTCCTCTATTAAATAAATGCTGACCCCCCCCAAAAAAAAATGCTGTTTGAGGAATAAAATAGGTATATACAGAGTAAATGGCACTGCCCAGGTCAGAATGATTTCACCCAAATGTTATTTTTAACTCAATTTGGATGTTTTTAAGCTCACAATCATCGTTTCAAATGTGTGAAAGGTTTACTTGGAAGCTACACATACACAAAGATAATCCATACCTCTTTTCTACATTGTATACATAAATATATATCATATACATATATATATAACATATGCATGCATGTTTAGGTGGGAGGAATTACAGTTCTTAAAGTCTTCTAAGACCAATGTGCCTAATCCTCTTATAAACGCTTTTAAGAATAACTAAAAAGAAACTGAGTCAAGTTCTCTATATGCTTGGATTTTCTGGGTTCAAGAAAATTTCAAGAGTAACCACTTCAAAAATATTTGTTCTTTTAAATATTCAAAGAAGTTTTCTGTACAATGTCATATTTTCATCAGTATACCAGCTTTAGTTAGTCATGATTTGCAAATTTAACATTTTTAAAAATTAAAACAGTTTAACCACAGGTGCCATCCTCCAGGAAAATGGTTGGAGGGAGAAGCTATTCTATCCAAACAGGACTCTACCCTAGTTACAGAGTTGGAGCCATTAATGGATTTGCTACCACCACAAGGAAAACCTCTTTCCCCTCCTGCCACCACATCAAAAGGCCCTACTGTTATAATTAATGGGTTCAGGAAAACCTGGGCTGATCCTAGGAAAATTCCCTATGCCCCTTAACCCAGTAATTACAGGTCTAGCAGTTTTTCCTGATGAGTTGATCCAAAGCTGTGCAAAAAAAAAGAAGAAAAGAGTACAAAGCCACTCATTGTGATATTGTTTTACAAAAGAGTGTTTAAAAAAAAGAGTGTGTATGTATCTCTGATGTTCAAAAATTCATAAAATTTGGGGTATAATTTTATATATGATAGAGAGTTTTTCATGACGTGCAGATGTACAAATGATATATTACACTTCTATGGTACACAACAGAGCACACAATCCCATTTTCTTATTTAAAACAACTAAACAAACACGATAGTAGATAGATACACATGAAGAATCAATAAAATGGATCCAACCCCTCAAGTGCTCATCTCTGCATGGTAAAGTATTTTATTCTTCATACTCTTATTTATTTTCCAAACATTCTACAGTGAACTTTTATAATCAGGAGGCAAGGCTGTTGATCACACAGAAAAGCTACTCAGAGGGAGTGATGGCGGGGAGCTGGGAGTATCACCCTTGTGCATGATCACCAGAATCCAAACACCTCATGGCCTCTCACTTCTGGCTTGATTTCTTCTCTTTAGACCATGACAATGTCCTCTCAGTCCAAAACAGAAAAATAAACAGTTTATAATTTTATCACATATAATAATATTTAAATATTGATTATTAATAAACATGAATCATGGAGATATCATAAATTATGTCATCATGTCTACCTCACTCTGAACAGGGGAACAAAGGATTCAGTTCCATGTTGGTGACGTCAGTAATCAGGGTTCCCACAGTGTTCCTTTAGCAAAACTGGATATAATAATTCTTCAAAAATGCATTCCATCACACAGAGATGAAGTGATCTGACAGTCCTCTAGTTAAGAAGATCTCTCTAGCATTATGCCAATCAGCTATACCTGGACTTGCAATGATAGAATTCTAAATTATCTGAGAATCTAATCTTTATTTATGGCCCATCACTAAAGAATATATGAAACTCAGGCTGGGGTTGTGGCTCAGCAGCAGAGCACACGCCTAGGATGTGCGAGGCCCTGGATTCAATCCTCAACACTACATAAAAATAAATAAATAAAATAAAGGTATTGTGTCCAACTACAACTAAAAAATAATTTTTTAAAAAAAGAGTATATGAAACTAATAATACACAATGTATTCTTATCATATCTCTTTTTAAACAAGTTTCATAAAATGTTATTATTGTCATTTCCTTTCTCAGCTTGAAACGTATTTTTTAAATAGAAGACATCAAAAAGAATGGAATTTCAAATCATGGCAATCCCTCCACCCAGCTTGGCCTCAAATTTCCCATCTATGAAAAGGGCAGTTGGATTGATGTATTTGAGGTCTTCTACCACTGACATTTCTATGATTCTTTGAATATTGCCACAAGCTTATCATCTATTTTAGATTTTTTTTAACAAAGCAGACACATGAATAAATATGAAGCTGTATCCCCAGAATCTGAAAGAGTGTAAGACAGGCTCACATAAAATTTGACTATCAACTCACTCTCAAATTCCCTTAGTATGCTAGTGAGAACTCTACATGTCCTCTAGTTTCTATGCTAGCTTAGAGCATTTCATCATTGGAAATTTCTCAGAGATGTCAGTGGAACTGAGAAACCGAGTCCTATCAACAAACAATTTTCATTATTCACAGTACTTAGGTTCTAGAACATCACTGTGAACATGGATGAGTGAACACTCAACCACTGGGCTGGGTAAGGACAAGGTTAGGGCCCTCGGAGCCTCTGACTCAACAGCTTCATCAACGATCTGTTTCATGTGTGTTTCTGTTAAAGACACTTTGTTTAACATATTTGAGATTCATTAACATTGAACTCATAGCTTGCAGCTCTTAACCATGATTGAACACCTGTATTTTCTCCAGAAGGCCAGTCATACCTTCTTGCACTTAGAAGCTTCAGAGAGCATGTCACCCTAGGCTTGAGGGCCATTTTAAACATCAAAATCACCAACAAGAAACAACATGTGACAAACGTGGCACTAACTGATTGTGGAAGACACACTTGTTTGCAACATGAAAGGTGAAACAAGATTGCTGGGGGAGTTGATTTTAAGTGTTCTTACCACATACCACCCCCCCAAAAAAGACAAGTATATAAGGCAATATATATATATATATATATATTAATCAGCTTGACTTAGCCATTCCACAGTGTACACACACATCCAAGCATTACTTGGTGCACCATAAATATATACAATATATTTTTGTTGTTGTTTTTGGTACCGGGGATTAAACCCAGGGGCACTTAACCGCTGAGCCACATCCCCAGCCCTTTTGTATTTTATTTAGAGACAGGGTCTTGCTGAGTTAGTTAGGGCCTTTCTAAGTTGCTGAGGCTGGCTTTGACCTCATTATTCTCTTGCCTCAGCCTCCAGCTCTGGAGATTGCCATGTTCATGTTATTCTATCTGCAAGATAGAATCCCATCCCTAACTCTTTCTGAACTTTTCTGCTTCTGCTTCTTCTTTTTTTTTTTCACAATTGTCATTTGATGTTTCCTAAATAATGATTAGCACATCATAGTGCTAAGGTAAGTTCTATATTATCATCTTTGATTCTGACATGTACCCGGAACAGAGTTAAACATGTATTTGAAGTGGCAGCTAAAAATTTCATGCCCAGAATTCCAGCCACCTTCCCAGCTTGCTCTTTGCTCTCCTTCAAACACCTTTCCATCAATAACTTCAATAAAAGGGGACCTTATGCAGGGTCTTTAATGTCCTTCCAGAAAGATTTTGTACCTCTGGTTCAAATCTTTGCAAAATTACTCTGCAATAGTATAACCACTTGGGAGAATTACTGGCAGTTTTTACCAGAGTTATACACCTATTTATGCCCAGCAATTCTACTCCTAGTACATCTCCAAGAGAAATAAGTTCATGTGTCCATAAAAATCACTGCATAAGGATATTCAAGGAGCATTATTATTAATGCTACAAAGAAAAAGAGCAAATTAATACAGTTGAATACCACATAGCAATAAAAAATAAATGATGTTGACAGATGAACTTCAAAAACATGCTATAAAAAGGGTCCAGACACACACAAAAAGCACATTATGTGATTCCATCTATAAAATGACAAGAACAGGCAAAACCAACCCATGAAGACAGAAGTTGGATTAATGGTTACTTCTCATGAATGATATCAATTGGGGAGGACATGAGAAGACTGTCCATAATGGTGGGAATGTTCTTTATCTTGTTCTGGGTGGTGGCACACAGATTTACCAAGTGCAAAAATGCATTTAATTGTTACATTAGGTTTCTACTGCTGATATAACAAATTACCACAAACTTAGTAGCTTAAAACAACACAAAATTAGACTATTCTGATTATTCTGTAGGCCAGAAATTCAACAAAGGTCACCCTAGACTAAATCAAGATTGGCAGGGTTGAGTTCCTTTCTGAATGGCACTGGAGGATGCGTTTTCTTGCTGTTTCTGTTTCTAGAGGTCACTCACAACATTTGACTCAAGGTTTCTTTTCCCCATCTTCAAAGTGAATAATGGACATGGAGTTTTCACATCCTCTTCCCTTCTGCCTCCCTCTTTTAAGAAACTTTGCAATTATATTTGGTCACATGGAAGATCTAGAATAATTTCCCCGTGTTGGGGTACTCCATTTAAACACATCTGGAAAATTCCCTTTTTTATATAAGGACACATATTCACAGTTTTCAGGGATTAGAATGTTAACATCTTTGGAAGCCCATTATTCTGTCTACCATAGCACTGAAGATGCATGAATTTTACTGTGTATAAATTATATCTCAACAAAAAATAGATAAAACCTTTCAAGAATGAAAAAATTGCATGTGTGCATGTCTGTATAAATATGTGTGTATATATATGTCATATATATTCATATATAATATATATGATATATATATATCAGACAGGCATATATATATATGACAGAAATTTTGGGAAAAGACCTGAGAATGACAAACCACATTAAATGATTTATCAAAATTTAGTACCAAAGCCAAACAGAATTCAAACTACTAAAAATTAATTCACAGCCTGCTTGTTAGCCCAACATAAATCATCAGTTCAATTTAGGAGTAAATCAAATATCCAAGTTCTGTTTTGGTTTAGCCAAAGGACATATGGAAAAATCTACATAAAGCATAATACAAAATGTAAAAATGTAAAGCCAAAGAACCAATTCATCTGTGTTTACACTGTCTCACCCAAGAAAATGTTGACTGTTATTTGATGATATGGATCATTTAATTTGTAAGTTCACTCTGACTTTTAACTGGATAAACAAGCCAAAAGATAAATCATTATCCCAATCCTGTAGATTTTTATTTTCAGCTTTCTACTGCAATTTGCAATTGAATTGAGAAGCTCCTTAAATTTAAATGTTTTTTAAATGCAGAAACATTGGATGGTAGTTAGATAAATTAAAATAGATGTGAAAGAACGGTATTCGCCTTACTTTTTAAAGGCAGTTTAAGGATTGCTCTTTGTTCACATTAAAATATATTCACAAAAGATACTTGCTATACAAATTAATAGTCTTTGCCTAATAAGAAAACAAATACTACACCATATGGTCTCAGTTACACTTGCACTATTTTGCCAACATTTCCTTGAGGAAAATAACTCTGTGGATTTAAGCTAAAAATATGTGTATAAAATGAAAGGCCCTACCTCTGGCTCTGTTCCAGCCCAAACCTGCTTTCCCACAGGTGCATCTGCTGCCCTGCTAGAGATGGGGGCCATCTTGGTTCTCGAATGCCATGGGCCTGGATGGGATGCCAAATATCTTTCACTAGAAGTGGCACTGTTTCTCTGCTGAATGTAAACGATGTTAAGTCAACACATTGGGGTTCTTCACATAAAGAGACTATCCACATGTACCACTTGCCAGGTAACTTCTCACCATGTCTGAGCCTGGGAAATGCTTTTTTGTCTTATAAATTTGAGGAGAAAGGGACTGTTATGGGCATGGAATTTGACCCAAAAGTAAAAATCCAGGCACCAATACTCGTAAGACATCTCTTAAATAGGAAAAATCACTACCTTAGTCCACGTGGGCTGCTATAACAAAATACCATAAATTGAGTGGCTTATAAACAACAGAAATTATTTCTTATAGTTCTAGGGACCGGGAAGTCCACAACGAAGGCAAATTAAGAGCTTGGTGAAGACTTGCCCTTTGATCACGGTGCTTTCTTGCTGTGTCTTCACATGGCAGAAGAGGCAAGGGGATCTCTGTAGTCTTTCATGAGGGCACAATCTCATTCAGGGGGTCTACCCTCATGATCTGATCACATCTAAAGTCCTCTTCCCAAACTCACACGGAATTGTTGTTGTTGTTGTTGTTGTTGTTGTTGTTGTTTTGTAACTAGGGATTGAATCCAGGGACACTTAACCACTGCGCCATATCTCCAGCCTGTTTTATTTTTATTTTGAGACAGGGTCTCGCTAAGTAGCAGAGGGCATTGCTAACTAGCTGAGACTTGCCTCAAACTTGTGATCCTCCTGCCTCAGGCCCCCAAGGCCTTGGTGAGCCACCAAGGAAAATATCCTAGATGTTAAACACATTGAAGAACCCACCCTTTTTGTACTAGACAGACTTTAAGAAAAATTCAGTGACAGGACTGAGCTGTGTCATCTGCCATAGATTCTTTGCCATCCATGCCCAGGAGCCAGAGACAAACAGTTAAAAGTACCAAGAATATCCAAGCCCCCTGATAGAAGAATGGCTTTCAAAAGCCCAAAGGTATATATAACCTCCTGTCAACCTCAATTTGCCTCTGCTGCAGCTGCCATTCAAGAACATACAGTCATCACTTAAGCTATCCAAAAAATCTATTCATTTATTCAGGAAATCTTAACTTGGTACTTACTATGGGTGAAGTACTGTACATGTGCTATGGTTACTGCAGTGAACCAAACAGAGGTCCCTTGATGACTGGAGTTTACAGAAAGCAGACAAAGAGATTTACCAACCAAGATATTATCCAAAAAGTACATTAAAAAAAAATACTTACTGAGGGGCTGGAGTGGTGGCTCAGCAGTAGAATGCTTGCCTCACATGTACGGGGCCCTGGGTTCGATCCTCAGCACCACATAAAAATAAATAAAGTTATTGTGTCCCACTACAACTAAAAAATAAATATTAAAAAAAAAACTTACTGAAATAAGTGTTGAAAAGAAGATCCACTGAGAGTTAAATAGAGAGAAATTCCATACATTTTCAGATACTGAAGTTGGAGTATGCAGTAAAGCCAGGCTTCAAAGAACTGGGAGGGCAGCATCCAGAGAGAGGGAAGAATCGTTTCTATTCTTGGTGCAGGTGGTCACCTTCCCCCAACTCCACAGGAACCATTTTCCCACCAACAATGTCCTTTGGTCTTTAATGAAGGGAGAATAAGTAGGATGCCAAATGCCCTTGCAGATGATTGTAGCTCCCCTCTGTAAGATTCTAACCACAGCCTTCAGATGCACATCTGGATCTCAGCGGAGAGAAAGTTCAGGACTGGGTGAAACACTGAACCTTCAGAAAATCCATGCCCTGACCCTAGTGCTGCCCCTTCTCAGGGTGGGCCCTGGGTAAGTGTGCCTCCAGTCACTCAGCCAGGCTAGGCTTCTATAAACTGTAGGCATTGGATCATAAAGTCCCTTTCATCACTCATGAAGCTTTGATTAACTAACAATTCCAAGCTGTACAACACCCTAATCTTTTTTTATTGCATCACATAAACCATACTGTATTATATAGTTCCTATTCCATACTATTTGGTTTTAAGAGCTTGTCCTCGTGGGCAACATGGATGAAATAGGGAATCATTACAAATGGTTTCTCATCACAAGCATCCCAACTAAGCAAATTTTTTTTCCCATAGATGTCCTGCTTTACTCCTGCCTGTAGTAATCTGTCCTCTATGATAAATTAGCCTCTCATTTTTCTACATTAATTCCACCTGATTTTTTCCCCAGTTCTCTCCATGCATGCTCAAGATGTCTCCTTTAAAATTTCAACTTTGCATCATTTTCATTTCTCTTGGGCATTCAATGCCACCTGTCACTGGCAAGCACAGGGTAAGTTGATTCCAGGCCTGGCCCCACAGTATGCTGCCGGAGCACAGTGGTTTCTCCTCCAATTTTGGTGTCAGTTTCTAGTAAGCTTTCCAAATTCCCACTGAATGACCAAAGGGTTTGAAAACAAGGCACAGTTTTGTCCTTAAAAAGGCAAATTTTATTTTATCACTTATACTAAATCAAAAACAGATGAAACTGTACCATCATGTTGGAAATCAAGAGAGTGACAGTCTCTGAGCCAGAGAAAGAGGTAGCTACTGGGAGGGGCATGAGGTGGCCTCCTGGGTACCAAAAAACACTATCATTCCATCAGAGCAGTATTTGTGGGCTTGTCTCCTTTGATGACATACCAAGTTGCACACATGACTTTTACACTGTCTTGTGTTCATGTTATCATTTAATTTGAAACTTATCAATTTTAAAAAGTCAAAACTACTTCCCTACTTTATTCAGTATCACAGCCAACTCTTACTTCAGGAGTTAAGAGGGCAGCTGCTGGAGCTAGACTCCCTGGAGTCTAATCTGAGTTCCTCTGTTTTATAGCCCGATGGCTTTCCTTGTCCTTAAAATGGTAATGATGATAGTACCTAGCTCAGAGGGTTGTTCTGAGGAGTAAAAGAATTATTGTCTATAAAGCCCTTAAACACTGCCAGGCCCATTGAGGGTAGTATTTAAATATAATTTCTCTCTGTGCTTTTATAATTATGTTAAATGGATTCTTCTGTCATCTATAACTCTAAAGAACCAATAAAAATATTATTTATTATATAGGCAAAAGAGGGCTATAATTAGCACCAGATTTAAAGAATGAAACCTTAGACATAAGGTTCCTGGTCTAAAATGGGCAGAGGGCACAGATCCTGCCTTCCTGGCCCCATGGGTCCCTGAACCAGTTAAAGGTCCCCATCATTCATCCCATTGTAAAAGTCAGAAACCTAAGAGTCACTGTAGAAGCCTGTTTCCCCTCCCTTACCCACCCAGCTTTTGGCAATATGTCAGTGGTATGTCCAAGTCTAATTACTCCTCTTACCTAAACTCCTCCCCACCTGATCTACATGTCTCCATACTTGCCTCTTCCTGCCTCTTGCTATACAGCAGCAAAAAAAAAAAAAAAAAAGCAAAATATAAAGTAAATGATGCTAATTCTCCTAAACACCCTTGCATGACTTTTACTATCCTTGGGGAAAATCTCCAAACTCCTTGCTGTCGTCCATAAAGTTCCACACAAGATATAAAACTTCCACCTATTCTCAGTTCCACGTATTACAATCTTTAACAGATAAGGAAACTGAAGACACCAAGAGGTTAAGAAACTCACTGCCAGAGTGGCATAGCTGGTGAGTGACAGAGGCAGGACTGGAACTCTGGAGAGCCAGCACACCTAATTCCCTACTACAGTGCCAAGTTTTTCCTGCCCTCTATCTTCACTTGCTTTCCTCTGTGGGGCACACTCTCCCTTCACTTTCAGTACAGATCTCAGTGTAAGTGCCTTTCTATCAAACAAGTTGGCCCCTCCCACAATTGGTCTCAGCCCTTTATTTGCTTATAACAATCACCCTAGTTCATAGTCACTTATTTAATCTGCCTTCTTGTTCTCCACTGTTTTTCTGCTTCCTGGAGCACAGTAGCTCTCAACAAATACTAGATGGATAAAGAATGCATGATTTATACTGGGAAATTGTTACTATGCAATGTCAGGGAAAATTAACTCCATATTCAGCTCACAATTTTTATATAGTTATGTGTATTCATACAAAAAAATTCTATAAAGTTGTGAGTGAATTTTTCTCATTCTTATTTTATATCAGTCTTATGATCTTTTCTAATTTGCATTAATTCAAAACAGCCTTAGGGAACTGGGGTTATAGCTCAGTGGTAGAGTGCTTGCCACACACATGTGAGGCACTGGGTTCAATCCTCAGCACCACATAAAAATAAATAAAATAAACAAAGTAAAGGTATTGTGTCCATCTTTTAAAAATCTTAAAAAAAAAAAAAAAAAAACAGGCTTGGTCATACCACTTGCTATGACCAAAGAGCAATTATCAAGTGTGATGTTAGCAGTTTTGACACTGCCGCTTGACCTCTTAGAATGTTCCTCCTTGGAAGCCAGCAAGCAGTACAGTGTTCCAAGAAAGTTAGGAGGAGCTTCAAGATCTTTTAGTTTTATAAATCACCATGCTACCAAGAAGCCCAAAAGAGATCCATGGAAAGGAATCCCAGAGAAGGAGAGACCACATTGGACACAGAAGCCCCAGATGAGCTCACAGCTCAATGAAGTTGCAATCAGGCACAAAGGTTGCCAACAACTCTACTGCCCTACAACGTTAGCTAACCTCGAGGTTTCTGCTTCCTTATCTACGAAACTTGGCTTATGATAGGTGATCTTTAGCCTCCCTCTCAATTTCAAATTTCTAACATTGTAGATGTTTAAAAACTTAAAGGAAACATAGACTTTACTGGTTTCATAATAGACAAGGATAATGATAAGGAAAGAAAATAATTCAATTTAACCCCAATGAGATACTGTGATAGACAAGGTATTTTTTATTTTCTTCTGTTAGAAAGAATAAGACTTTGAGCTACATAAATAAAGTATGTTTATTTTTCCCTGATCTTTCTTCTTTTTAGAATCTTATTCAGTCCACAAAATAATAAATAAATAACAGAAAATCCCATCACATGCTACAACATGGATGAACCTTGGAGTTCTACATAAACTAAGTAAGCACAAAAGGACAGATACTATATGAGATATGTAAAGTCAAATGCATAGACAGAGAAAGCAAGATGGCACTTACCAAGGGCTGAGAGAGGAGGAACAGGGGAGTTACTATTTAATGGTTATAGCATTTGAGTTCTACAAGATGGAAACATTCTGGAGATGTTGCACAATAATGTAAATGTGTTCACCTCTGCCACACTGTACAACTCAAAATAATTAACATGGTACATTTTATGTTCTTACTACAGTTTATTTTTTAAGACTCTGCCTTAGTTATCTGTTGCTGCATAACAAACTATCCCAAAATTATGTAGCTTAAAATAACAACAATATATTATTTCTTACCATGCTGTGAGATAACTGGATGATTCCTTTGAGCTTTTGCCTGGGTTCTGTCATGCTGTGTACTCAGCTGAAGCTGGCTGGGCTGGAAGAAGACCTCATCCCATACCTGATGTGGCTGTTTGAAAGTATTTCTTTTCCATGTGGCCTCTCATGCTTGAATAGGTGAGAACTGCTTTCCTGTGTAGTGATCTCAGGACGGTGTCAGAGCAGGTAAGAAAGAAGTTCCAAGGCCTCTTGTGGTTTAGGCATCAGAATACATATAATGTCACTCTGCCACATGTCAGTGGTCAAAGCAAGTTCTAGGGCTGGATTTGTGGCTGAGTGGTACAGTGCTTGCCTGGCATGTGTGAGACCCTGGGTTAGAGCCTCAGTGCTGCATATAAATAAATAAATAAAATAAAAAATCCAGTGACAACTAAAAAAATTTTTTAAAAAATGCAAGTTACAAAGCCTGTGCAGAATCAAGGGGAGGAGAAATAAACTCTACCTTTTAAGAGGAAAAGCTGCAGTATCTTGGCTTTTCAGTTTGCCATAGTCCCATAGTCTAACATTTCAGTTCTCTCCTTTGTCACAATCAAAAATATTTTTAGCTGGGCATGATGGCCTTTGCTTATAATCCCAGTGACTTGGAAGGCTAGGGCAGGAGGATCACAAGTTTGAGCCCAGTCTCAGCAATGTAGCGAGATCCTGTCTCAAAATTTAAATAATAAGAAGAAGAAGAACTGGGGGATGTAGCTCAGTGATGAAGCACCTCTGGGTTCAATCCCTACTGTCCCCACCAAAAAAATTTCAAAACTTATTTGTTCACTAAATGGAAATTCTATTCTTCCTCCTAGAATTCTCCATGATTCCAAGTTTGAGTCGGGGCAACCTACAAATATTTGGATGATTATGGAGAAAAGATGTGATCAGGCTAGTGACAGAGCTGAAAACATAATGAACATCTCAGGAACTTACAGTGATTTCTGAGAACTTCAGTATAAATCTAAGAAAACTTCCTGATTTTAAATGGGACTTCTCATCTCTGAATCAATAAAAATTCTTTCAAGAATTTTCAGGTGAAATTCTCCATGACTATTTATACTATTTAAAGTTACCTCTTTTTGCCAAGTATTCTTTCTAGAAACATTATTGGCAACATACGATGGGTCTCTCCTACTTTCATAAATAAACTCTTCATAGCTTAAAAAAGAAAACACAGACTCTGGCTAATAATACCATGTTTATTTGTGCAAGTGAGCCTAAATCCCTACCTTTAAAAAAAAATGAATGCAAACATTTTTTGCCAAGAGGTTGCTTTCAAAAGCATAACACTCCTTGCTGAGCTTGGCCAGCTTCTATTTGTTCTGCCTTTCAGTCAGATGAGTGCTGCATGTGTTCACAAAGCTCAGTGCACTGGCTTGTTTTTGGATTGTG